GGTTTCTGCTGCTGCTGCACCAAAAGCCTCCTCGTGATTGCTTTGGTTGCCAACAGACTGCTGCAGTCCTGATCATGTGCTTGATAGACGCTGACGTGTCTGCAAAAGCGAAGCCTGTTTGATTGGTTGTTGGCTGCAACGCTAAGGCACAACTTAGAAAGTAAATGGGGAGTTGCAGACAAAGTACAGTAATTCTTTAGGTTTTAAAACGAGTAAGTAATGTGTAATATATGTTTTAAATAATCTACCCAATGCTCTTGGAATAAACAGTGTAACATGATAATGAAGGTTATAGATTAAAGATGGCAGAGCTCGATCAACGTTCAATTTGAATTCAAGCTAGTGAAATTAGCTGTTCTCCATTAGATGGATGTTGGGTTTATCGCGCTACATGTAAGCAGATGTATCAGGTCATCGCTGCACTTGTGCATCCTATATTTTTGAGTCTGAGTATTCAGATAGGACAGAGAAAGGAAACTGAAGAAATGCAGCATGGACAGACTGACTGTTTTTAAGAAGATCACGAGACTAAAAAGTGCAAACAGCATCAGAGAAGAACCCAAACATGACAGACAACAAACGGTTAGTATTCCTACAGCAGCTCCTTTTGTGTTTACTTTGGATTAACTGTGACTCCAAATTAGTCATTCTGACACAAACTGGGTCAAAATGTTAAAAATGTTCAAAAAAAAAAAAAATAGTGTGTAGAAGGTGGAAAATACCGGGAACATGAGAGGAAAGGATCAAAAAAAAAAAAAGAGTTTGCCCTATGACCTTTGAAGAGAGAGAGACAAAAAATGAAAAGAGAGGGAAGAAAAACTGTATTCATCCATCTTTGTTAACGGAGCCTGAAGTGACAAAGTGTGTCTGCAGAGAAAAGACATGACGACACTAAACGCTCCATTCAGCCCAAACCTTAATCACATGTGCCTCACACACGCACACACACACACACAACACTGATTCACCCACAGGACACCTGAGCTTGCCGTTTTATAACGGCAAGCTCAGGTGTAACCGTGTAACCGTGTGTTTAACATGACAAACACGAGCAGCGCACATCAAACAAAACACTTTAAATGACAGGATTGTGCGTGCAATGATGTTGCATTTACATTCACATCATTGTGTATATGCACAGTGTATATAATGCTTTCCTACATACATTACAGGGAGTGCAGAATTATTAGGCAAGTTGTATTTTTGAGGAATAAT